GTTTTTGGCATAGTGTTCAGAAAAATACGAAGAAAGGTGTTCTACAATACTGATTAAGTCACTTTTGGAAATTTCCGTAAGAGGTGCAAAAATGCATTTATTATTGCATCATTATTTGTAAAATTATATACATTTTCTGGAGAAATCGTTGTTTGGGGGTTCGGGAGTCAATATCTGCTCTCGAAAATGATCGAGGATGCCCAGGAGCGGCGGTACGAAGTGCCGGAGGTGCAGTGAAGTAAAACATTACTTGGAAATCGTTACTCGGGGCAATTTTTACTAAAGTCACCATGGTTTCCCCGATCGCCACTCCTGGGCATCTCCGGGCAATTTTTTGCCTCACTGCACCCCTGGCACTCCGTAGCGCCACTCCTGATGTTCCCCCAATTCCGGTCCCTCATCCGTCCAATTTCGAGGGCATGTATGGACTCTGTACCCCCGAAAACCGCTGAGTAGCGATTTTTCATGTTTATATTTTTTACGCAATAATAAAGGGGTTGCAGACACAAATGTTGATTGCTAATGACTGGACCACTTTTTTTCAACTCTACGAAGCACGTTTAGAATATTTGGGATCGAATACTGGGGAACATGTAACCCCCATATTATGAGTAAGGACTGTTCTACCATGTGTCGGCGCCTTGAATGTGTTACCACCATGCCAATGAAATTTTTTTTTAAGAAGAAAGAAAGTTGAACAAAGTCTTTTCACATAATCTAAATCTGTTTGTTTTGGATATCTTATGTCCAGCCAAATGGTCAATTTAGACAACGCTTCGAATCTCAGACCATCATATCTGTGATGTGTGACTAATTTTTACCACAGAAAAGAAATTCGATGTTGCCGAAACCGTCACTCTTCTTCGTTCCATCCCTCAGAGTAGTCGGCATGTGCTTTAAAACATCAATATTCGATCGACACATGTTTTTATATTCATATTTGCAAATTGTGAGCAGTGAGCACATTATCTAGCCAATTTTGTGTGAATCTGGATTATGTATTATCTTTGCTATATCATGGTTTTATTTTAGGTAGTATGATTTTCAATGTCTTTTAATTTGAAATGTGCACATTGATTTTTTTAATGACACTGAATGATCGGTACGTTAATAATTGTATTTTAATAATAATCCTTGGCATCATAATTATTGTAAGCTATAAGTAGCGTCAATGTACCACCAAAAAAAGCAATTGTTTATATTTTGATGTGCGCATTGGCAACAAAAAAAACCATAAACATGTCGCTAATTAACCATTGATTCTGACGATGGACGATTTCTTGTTTCAGACGTAGAAAAAGAAAAGGCTCTGGCAAACCACGTTTCGTTGTACGAATCGATGTGCGTGCCGGATTTAAATTCGTATTTAGAGTACAGCCATCCCATCCTCCCCGGGGAGGACAGAAAACCTATCATTACGACCCCAGTACCTGCACACACCCCGACGCCGGCCGCACCAGCCCCAATAAACAACAATTTTTTACACGAAGGTAAGTGGCTCCTCTAATTACGTAAGATTTAATTAACTCGCGAACAGTAAATAGACACTTTTCACAATGATTTCTAGAATTAAGTAAAACAAAAGCGGCTGTACATTATATTTTGCCATCTGAAATTACATACGAAGATGTATATCGCTCCTTGTGTTTAAAGGAGGCTTGCGTAACAAAAATAAACCATCGTCACGCTAAAGATTCCGAAAGTTAATATTACTTAATCTAGGTTAATATGTTATACCTAAATGTGTGTGAGTGTGTTAATATTGTACATATCCATTTTTTTTAAAAACAATTTTGGTGAAGTAAGCCCGTCATTAGCGGGAAGATCATACTTGATTCGTTTTCAGGATGCTACAGTAAAAGTCCGAGCGCAGCCAAAAATTGCAAAACGGGCAATAAAACGTGTGCAAATCTTTAATGGAAAAACACTTATTTATGCCGCAACGTTTTTCATGAATTAAAAAATTATACGTTGCTGCTTCGGATACAATCTATTTCATACAATATAAACATAAAGGATGATTTTGATAGTGAAAGCTAGATAGGAGTTAATATTGCACTTGATATGCTTCGTTTCCAACAATGCCAAATACTCTCCATTCTTTAATGGTTTGCAGAAGCAGTGCTTCTAGTGCACGCGGTAGTGTCATAGGTGCGCGGTTTTTGTGCTTTTGCTTTCCGAGTTAGCTGAAATGATGACGATGTGATGTTAAAGTGATTCAGGGATTCGCATCAACCATGATCTTGTTTAAAGGTTTGCTGTCTTTTTTTTAAATTTCGATTTTACTCGTTCCCGTCTACGAAATATGATTCTTCTAATTTCCAAAAGGAAAACTCAAGCGTTTTCTTTGGAAGCACCGTCCATTAACTGTGTAAGATAATTAAATGAAAATTTTATTTTGGCACATTCTTTCATACCCAATTGGATTGTACGAAAGGCGGTGAATACATGAAAAATTTTCAAGTCGGCAGATCCCTCCCATTTTGGCACTGTTTCTGAAATAAAATGAGTACAAGCACAAATTATTGTCATTTGTCATCGAATTTCGCTGTTAAGTGGAACTATTTCGGTAGAGTTGATTATTTTGAAATTCGTTATTGGAACACAATAACTGAGCACATTCCTAAAATCGGCACAATAAGATTCGATTTCCTAGAATAAATTGCGCTTGAAAATGAAGAGTTATAGTGAAAAAAACTGTTGAGGTTAGCCGGGTCATATGCAAATATCGAATGTGCGGTTAGGCGCCATTAGCGCATAATTGGCGCCTAATTATGGCCAGATTTGCATCCGCTCATTTTTCCATTCAACTTTTGCCTAGGTGACATATAGATGAGTTGATAGCATTTTTATAATTCAATTTCGAAGACAAACTATGTTCCATTTCACGCTTATAAAATAAATTTATTCGAAAAAACATGTTCCATTGATTCCCCTCTAGGTCAGCTGATTTTTTAAAAAATGGAGTTGCTGTATCGAAGAGTTTTTGCAAATTGAAACATTAAACTGCCATTTTTTTGTCAAAAACTGTGAAGAATTTCATTCTTAAGAAATTCGGAGATGTACTAAATTATCTCGAAATCAGAACTATTTCGCCACTTATATTAAGAGAGCACCACAGGTCAAGAATTTTTGGAAAATGTGCAAAATTGGATAGAGCAAATTTAAACCTCGGTAAAGGTGTTAGATCCATTCTTCTATGACGATGGTTCCTGCTTAATTAAAGAAGTATTTTCCATAAATACTCGCGATTTTCACATTGCTGTTTGCTAAAGGAGTTAAAAAACCAATTTTAACGTGTATTACAAAAAAGCTTCTACGTTTGAAGTTACCCGATGCATTTGCAAATCAAATACCGTACTATATGCATATGATGGGTCTAATTTTACGCATTTATGCAAGACATGAGTAGATCTGTGCAATTTGAAGTTAAAAATTGACAATAGCTACAAAATTTGTCGACTAATCGATTATTTAATAATTGATAATCAACGAACCAATTTTTTCGATTAAACGATAATCAAATATTTTATTCTTTGATAATGAGGATTATATGAGGAAGGAATTGCTACCGTATTTAATGTGTCCCTTGTTTTTTTGGAAAAGAATGCACCGCTAACTAAATATTGCACAAAATTATTATCAATCAATAGCTGCTGTAGTACATACTTTTGAAAAAAATCTCAGAAGAAAAATACAGATAATTATCTGGGTAATAATTAATTTTTCACCTTTTTTTAAATAAAAACTTAGTTGGCCTTTTAACCATGTGTCACTTGATACTGGTAGTTACCTATTTTTGTTCGGTGGTAAACAATTGCGCTTTTGGAACTACCAATTGTTTCCATTACCCACTAGGCGAACGGTTGGAGAATAAAATAGAGGAGGTCATAATGATCTTATTTACAAAAATAACTATATCAAGTGATATATCGTTAGAGATTCGGAACACACACACTTAGTTTTTCCATGATCCGTTTAGTTTTTCATAAATCGCCAGAAAATATAAAGTAGAAACAAATGAATATCGCAGTTAGTAAAAAATGGAAAATTTGTAAATTTTTAAAGTGGAAGTAAAGGTGATATCCAACATTTGTAAATTCTGGTTACATTTTGTTTATTGAAAATAAATATTAAAAAGTCAAGATAAGTCTACGTTATTTCCAGGGTATGTATATATTAATTGATAATAAATAATAATGGTCATTTGTTTTGTTATGGCAATTGGTAAAACAATTTGATAATATACTATAAATACGAATATTTCAAAAACGGCTAAAGCAAATGTCAACATATTCTTGAAATCAGAAAGAAAAGATCTATTTAATTTTTGAAAAATATACAAGGCGTTCCATCAAAAATTGACCCAATTTGCCATTTTTTACTAATTTTACCCTATTCATTTGTTTTTTACTTTGCTTTTTATTTATTTTTTTGCCTTTTATTTACTTCATTTACGATAACCCTCCACAGAATAAATTTTCCGTTTATTGCAGTAAGCGGTTTTATTTTTCGTTTATAAAGGAATTCCAGTGCTCTATATTCATTTATAAACGCGATTTTATTCAACAAATGTGTACGCAGAATCCTTTTTTGACGAAATGCGTTGTGTATTTAGGTCCTAAAACCCTCATAGCAAACGGTATGATCAAATTGCGAGAATTGTTAAAATGAATCCGAAAATTGCCCAGAAGTTGAGGCAGAGCTTAATTACTTAGGTATTCGATTTTTAAACGTTTTTCAAAAAAATCCCTTCTGTGCTTCTATTCCTTGTCTAAGAAGAGAACGAATCATGAAAATCACATGCAGTTCTTCCGATCATATCTGTCCACTTTTTATGACCTCTTCCAAAAATGTCACATGCCTAAAGCGGTAAGTATTAAAACCGTCACACCTAGATATGATAATGTTTGGTGTTTAGAGGAAACGACAAATTATTGAACATTTTAATGTAATTCTGATTAATCGGAACGGATTTCCACAATAAATAAAAATTCATCGCCTTATTTTGTTTAGAACTATTACATAAGCCTTGATTTTAAAGTTGACAGAATAATAAAGTAAGATGGGATGGTCCCTCCCTTTATCTGTTCGCCTATTTTTTTTTGATCGGAGGACTACCCCGCGCTAACTGGTAGCTTATCCCTTAATCTACCGTTTCGAGTCGTTTAGCGGCTTCCATTTTATTTTAGTGCGGCATTCTTTTTTTGCTCATCAAGAAGCCCTTTTACATCAGTCGACATCTGACAAGGCGAAAAGCATTAGAATATGAACCACTAAGAATTGCGCACGTGTTCAAGCAGATACCCCTGTCATACAACACCACTTGGACTACTTCCCGTGCTTTCACGGGGGTAGCTTCACATAAGGTAGGCCGGGTTCAGTTCTATGTCTTTGTGCCCTTCTAGTCCTTCTACCCTACCACTTCGAGAGAATCTCACATTACGTAGCACGTGAGCCTAGAGAATTTAGGTGTGGATATGTGGACAATGTATTGGTTTACGTTCCGGATGAGCGGAAATGGGTGGTGGTTTTACAACGAGTATTGCAAGATGTTTTATTATTTAATACGCCATATGGATCGTCATTTTTTTTCTTTTCCAGACGGTTACGTGTATACGTGCGCATAAATTTGCGAAAAAAAGGAAAATCTCTTCTTCAATTAACCACACTTTGGCGATTAGTCTCATTTGCACAGGAAACACAATTCAATTTCCGTGGGTATTATGGAAATCGTATTTTAAAAAAGCGGAAAGATAACAGGATGTCCTTTATAATAATCCATTAATCTTACGGCATATTTGCCGTAATCAATATTTATAAATTAAATTTTGCTCGCGTCTTACATTCAGGTTTACGAAAGTTTCCTGTTGAAAAGGTCAGTTCTAAGATAAAATAATTACATGAACCGTTTAGTTTACCGTCATTAAATCGAATGTTAATTTCCATGTTTGGTTTTCTTGTACAAAAGCCTTTAGGTAGCATTGTATGTCCTTTATCATAAAATTCGGGTCTAATGTCTTCATTGGAATTTTGGCTGCACTAATAACATTGAAAAAGTGGATAACATCTTTAAGAAGCTCCTCTTGATGTCTTTTTAATAGTACCGTTGTGCTCTGTGGGACTTGAGACGTATCAAGGAATGAATGATTGACGTATGAAACCATTCGGGAAGAGAAACTACAATAATTGATTAAAATAAGTGGTGTTTATAATAAGGGTTGTTGGTTTAAAAACGAGAGCACTTCGACACAATGAACGGTCGTGAAGTGCGCTTCTTTAATTTATGCGCAATTGTTGTTTTGATTACAAAAACTGAATTTACTGTTAGAGGGTGCTGACGAAGATAAAGCTGAGGCTTGCAGATAAAAATCATTATCTCCATGTTAAACATGACTGTTTCGTTTTGATAACGCTCTTCGTGTATATCTTCAAATAACATTGAAAAAATTTCAAAATCCTCAGTTATCACTAAAAGAAACACTGCTCT